TTTCTCAAAAAGACTCTGTTCCACTTTGTGATGTCATGTGGTAATACAGGAAGTGCTCCATTGAGGTTTTAAACTCCATGCACCTTCACTGGAATGATTTGGATAATCTCTGCTGAACTAAATGTAAAAGTAGCAGTTAACTTGAAAACTACTGCTTCATGACATCACAAGGTTGAACAGAGCATATAGGGCATTGGAAAAGTAGTAATAATAAGAGCTACTCAACCATGTGTAAATGAAACAAAACACAACTCCAAGTATGTTTTTGAGGACGTAACAGCTTTATAATGACTTAAAGCTCATTAAAATCAGATAGATCCGTGTTTCCCAAACTTTGTTTCTGAGGACCCATATTTTAAAAGTCACCAACCTTTGCGACCCAAGTCAATAGACATTATTTGTAAATCACAAAATAAAGGTGGATTTGACCATTATTGAACATTAACGAGGATATTTTATTGTTGACTGAGTGATCGTGTCTCTGAACAATTAGTATTACTCAAGTTTTAAACAATGAAAAACAGTCACTGAAGCAGCAATAAAAGGATCCATAAGTGGCCTATTTGGACATTAAATGTAGCCCAATATATTACAGACCGACATGCAGATTGTGACAAGGTGACCCACTTTAGGGTTGCGACCCAAACTTTGGGAAACACTGATATAGAACCTTTAAGTTACTATTAATTACACAAATTTTCAATGACAAATGAATGACATATAAATGTGTATTCAAGTTTTGTTTTGTTCACATAGTCATTAACATTTATGACAATGCTCCAGTAATGCTCTTCTCTGATGATGTAATAAAGAACAGATCTGCACTCTTACAGCTTATATGAATTGACTATGGAGTTGTCTATGCTTCTCGAACCTTTTTTTTGTTGTTTTTATTTATTTTTTTGTCCTTTCCTCAACAGTTTTTTATTTAATTACTTAATTTATTAGAATTGATTGAATAGTTTGATCCTATTCGATTATTCTGTTAACTGTCAGCTTCATGATTATGATTATTATGCTAAATTAATTGATGAAATCGCAAATACAAGGCTCCACCCACAAACCTATGGCACCTATGCTCCCACTCAGCAAATTTCCATAAATATATAACAGCAGGATACAACAGCACACTACAACTTCACAAACCTGATGTGATGTGCAGTAGTTTCACTAGCGGGATGCCCACGGATTTTTTTGCTCTGACTTGGCATTAGGACTGGGTATCATTAAGAAGTTGCCGACAGGATACATACCTCGATACATAGGTCACGATATGATACATATCTCAATACAGTGAGCTTTTGATTCGATATGATGTATTTCAAATGGATTCGATATGGTTCAATAAAAATAATGGCTAAGTCATGGCTGTGATATTAAAAGTCTTTGTTAAACCACTTCTTGTGCAAAGTTCGTATGAAACACAAACATTTTAATCATCAAAACAATGAAAATGTTAAGTGTGTAAACAAGTTTCCTTCCACTAAACAAGCAACAAAACTTTAGCACTGTAACAAAATAATTGAGTAAAACATACCAAAAAATACTCTTGGCGATATATCGATACAGCAGCCCACCATATCGATATTGTACCATCACATTAAGCGATTTAATGTATCGATATTTTGATATTTTTACTCACCCCTATTTGGCATGTCAAAAAACTGGAACTAATTGCACATTTTAGTAAGTTGTTTTTGGTTTAACATGGTGATCTAAATATTTTATGTGTCAACAACTGATACTGCATAGAAGTGTAACACCCCGTCTCATCCAATTATCATCACATTTTAAAACTTTATAACCACAGATTCAGTTGCAAATATGTCAGAACTGCTTCAGCGTCAGAGTTTTGGACTTTTTGTGATTTTTTTTTGTGAATGAATGCTTGAAAAGTCAATGAGCGCATACCATCGGCATTGTAGTACTCGCAATTGCATACAGAACTTTTTTTATGAACCACAATCGACATTTACTGTTCAGATTCTGGTAAAACAGTGGTCCAAGTCTCTCTGAAGCGGGACTCTGGGGGGAAATAGGTGGAAGTTTATCAAAACAGCTGCAATGTTGTGTCTTGGGGACATTTTCTATCACAGTGCACCCATACAAATATCAAGTGTAAGAACATGTAAAGGTATTATACAGACACACAGAGTTAAGCCTGGGTTCATTAGAGAGACCTCTTGAGGACAGAGCTGTTTTCAGAGGGAGTGTGTCACCGCCGGCAACAGCCCCAGGCTAAACTGTCTCTGTGCAACAAAGATATTCTGTCATTGTAAACACAGAGAAAGGAGGTTTTTGTTGGTCATGTTAGTATACTTCAAGGTGCATTGTGTAACTTTTCTGGTTGAGGGCCTGTCAAATGCTTTTTTCCTTTCGATTCAGCTCCCTCTTCACCACAGCGGTCCGATACAGCAACCGCATCACTGCCAACACTGCACCGATCATCCTATCAATCTCACGCTCCGTCCTCCCCTCACTCGTGAACAAGACCTTCGAGATACTTGAACTCCTCCACTCTCAATTTACCGGTCAGTCTTCGTTCCTCCCCTCACCTATGGTCATGAGCTTTGGTTAATGACGGAAAGGACAAGATCGCGGATACAATTGGCCCGAAATGAGTTTCCTCCGCAGAGTGGCTGGGTGCTCCCTTAGAGATAGGATGAGGAGCTCTGTTGCACGGGAGGAGCTTGGAGTAGAGCCACTGCTCCTCCACATTGAGAGGAGCCAGTTGAGGTGGCTCGGGCATCTGTTCTGGATGCGTCCTGGACGTCTCCCTCAGGAGGTATTCCTTGCATGTCCCACCGGGAGGAGACCCCGGGGAAGACCCAGGACACGCTGGTGGGACTATGTCTCTTGGCTGGCCTGGGAGCGCCTCAGAGTTCTCCCGGAGGAGATGGAGGACATGTCTGGGGTGAAGGAAGTCTGGGAGTCCCTCCTGAGACTGCTGCCCCTGTGACCCAGCCCCGGATAAGCGGAAGAAAATGGATGGATAGATGGATTTTTTTTTGCTTTGTCTGGAAAGTTTCACAGTATGGCATTATACCTTTTTATCTTCACGGAGACTAAACCTGACCAAGTTACAGGTCAGATCTCTGGAAAGGTAATCCCGCTCCCAGTCAGAATGCTGTGTTTTTTCAGTAATTGAATAAATGTAAATATTATTTAATGTTTAATGTCATACTGTGGAACATTCCAAGCAGAGCACTGACATATAGTTAGAAACAAGCAGGTGACTGATAGCCAGGCTGCCGCCACCTAGTGCTTCTGCTCAATTTCATTTCTCTCCAGTGACTAGGTCAGGAATTAGAACACACTAGACGGTTTGCAAGAACCCCGGAGCTGTGAAGCCATGACGTCAAACTCATCGCGTCTGTCTGGGTCCCTTTTGTGAAACAGCACAACAGTAAACAGAGTGGTCGAGATGGATGTAGACGAAGACAGACATTGAGTGCCTCAGCTTTTTTAACTTTGTATTTGAGACTGGTCCCTACACTGAAGAGCACCAAAAAGACAATTTTGCACAATCTCTACATCCCCCTAAAGTTTTGTACAACTCCAGGTCTGCTTATGATGAGGAAACATTATAACATCTCTTAAAGCTCACAAGAGTCAGTTTTGTGTTATATAGGACCTTTAAGTCTGTATTCTGAAACTGTATTAAGTGCTCATGTAGGATGAGTTTTGGGCATGTGTCTCACAAAGGTCAGAGTCATGGATGCTCTGGTCATCTTCGCTCTCATGTCAGAAGAGGCCCTATAACACCTGTGTAATTCATGTGTGATATAACTTCATGATATGAGTCTATATGTCTTTACCAACTCCCCCTCTCACTATTGTTGTCTTTGGGCCCTATATCTTGGTGCTCCCGCTGGTTCCTCCGTTGTACAGCTGTGTTCATGTGAAAACAAAAGCCCATAGAATGTGTGCACATGTCACTGGCCTGTCAGGAGCAGGGTGCAGGGTAATTGGTGCAGATTTGGGCCCAGAGCAGCGCAGGGTCCCACATGAGAGGCACATTCCTAATCGGACACCGCTGTTCTCGGATCTGCTTCCCACTGGGACACTCTCTAATCTCCTGGAAACAATATTGACATAGAAATACAAACTCGGGGGACAGGGCAGCGCTGGTCACACAGGTCCAGCCTGAGGTGCACTGAATGAAGAGAGTCTGAAATACTTCCTGACTTTGGCAAAGAGATGAGGAGCATGCTTGTGGGGTTACTACTTTCTGTTTGACTTCAGCTTTCAGACAAAACAAAACAAAACATCTCCAACAGCATCATAATATAACATTCATTGTCAGTATGAGACGATGGTGACACAGGTGATGTTGAATCGACCATGATGCCCCGCTCCTTCATGTCTTCATCCGAGCGTGTGTTGTTGTAGTTGTTGCAGTTCCAGATGTGTTTCAGAAAACAGAGCTGGCCCTCAGGCTGTATGTGTCTCTGTAGGGGCCTTTTACTCTGGGACCATCACACCGCCAGCAGAGACCAGACTCAAGTTCCTCTCCAGGTCATCACATTGAAGAATATAATGACAATCTAATGACAGGAAGTAAAACACTCATCCCCTAACCTTGCACAGCAAGACGGTTCCCACGATACTTGTGGTTCACAAACTCATGAGAACGTGTAGAACACAGTCCAGTGTGACACACATGTCAACTGACGTGTGCCAGGTTACCCCATGTGTAAAAGACACTGGAACAACCTGCAGTAGCTGTGGAACACCAAGGTGCCATGAAGATTCTGCAGATTTTATGCCAGGATAGAAGTATAACCCGAGAATGTTTCTATTGCACATTTGACCTATATTCTCTAGGCAGTGTTGCTGAGGCAGATTTTCAGTTGGGACAACAGGCCTAAAGGCTATTGTTGACCTACATGCATTTCAACAGTGTGTCAGTGCCACCATGTGCTAGAGAGATGTGCACACAGAGAGTTTAGAGTTTGTTGACGTTTGTGTTGATTTGATGCCTCCTGTTTTCATTGCAGGGTTGGCTTCACCATTGCACCCCACATCATTATGACCTCTAAGTCGTGCAGCCTGGCGGTTCTGGGGGGAAAGCAGTCTCTCCTGTCCCGTGCGACCTGCCAGAGGCTGGTCAGTAAAAATGGCCATTGCTCTCTGGGCTCCGGAGCCGTGGGGCAGGGCCGCTGGCTGTTGGCGCTGCAGGACATGTGGGGGCTCATGTTGGGGCTGCGCTGGAGGTGGGTGGTCCTGGCCTTCTGTCTGTCCTTCCTGTGCCACTGGCTGCTGTTCGCCTGCCTCTGGTACCTCCTGGCTCACTTCAACGGAGACCTGGATGTCCCGGACCACGATGCCCCTCCAGAGGGGCACGTGGTGTGTGTCAAGTACATCAACAGCTTCACTGCAGCGTTCTCCTTTTCTCTGGAGACTCAGCTCACTATAGGATACGGCACCATGTACCCCAGCGGAGACTGTCCCAGTGCTATTGCTCTGCTGGCGGTGCAGATGCTGCTGGGGCTCATGCTGGAGGCCTTCATCACAGGTGAACCACACAAACATCTCACATGACATTGTTCATAACAGTTTGCAACAAACATAAGCCCAGACTGAGTTAGACTTTTATGTATTCTCAGATGGGGAAAGAGTTCTATATGTAAAATACTGCAGCAGTATAGCAATGTGAATATATCCTCTGTTCTGTTTCTATGCTCATCATGAGAGTCATGGTAAACAACAGTCATATAAACAGTAAACAACAGTCATATAAACAGTAGAGTGTTGTTTAGTTTCAATGTTTTGGAGGATGATGAAGCCTGGAGCATCATGTGTTTAACACAGTCACAGACCATACAGTCATGAATACAGACGCTCTGGGGGTTTAGGATTCCTGTTACCGCATTTTCTTAATGTTTTCAGAGGAGACTTTTGGTTTATTTTATAATGTGTTTGTGTATTTAGTGGTGGTCAAAGGAATTTGCCCATTGGTGCAGACAGTCAGTCACTGTTCTGTCAGTCTGCCTTATGCCAGCAGTGGTCACAGAAGTAGTTCTCTCTTGTAAAGTAAAATATAAGTTTAATACGTGAATAAAGATGAGTTAATGATATTGTCTCATTATAGGTGCATTTGTAGCAAAAATAGCTCGTCCACAGAAGCGAGCAGGTGCCATCCAGTTCAGCCCAGAGGCGGTTGTGGGACAGCACCAAGGTCAAACATGCCTCATGATCCGGGCCACCAACCTTCTGCAGCGCCCCCTGGTGGACGTGAGGCTCAGCGCGGTGCTGTATCAGGACTGTGAGGGGCAGGCCTTACACCAAACATCTGTGGACTTTTACCTGGACCAGTTAGGATCCCAGCCCTGTCCCCTGTTCCTCTTCCCCCTCACATGGTTCCACCCTTTGGATCACCGCAGCCCACTGTTCCCTGTCCTGTGTGAGAGCTCCACAGCTCACTTTGAGCTGGTGGTGTTCCTGTGGGCGCAGGAGGGCAGTGGGGACAGCTGTCAGAAGAGGACGTCCTACCTGAGGCCGGAGGTGCAGTTTGACCGCAGGTTTGTGCCCGCTCTGGGGGTGGACAGTCACGGGAGGTTCAAAATCAGCCCTCAGCATTTCAGCACAGCTCACTCCAAACCTCTAGACAAAGACTGTGTGGTGCAGATCAACGGGGACGGAAACGACCGGACAGAGTAGGCGGGACTTAAAGGGACTGTTCACTTCTGTTAGCTGTCAATCATTAGCTCTTTCAATGTTGATCTTGGACTCAGACCTGAAAGTGGACTCAGTGCAAGACTTTTCTTTATAATATTCTGCTGTTTAGTGAATGATCTGCTGAGGATGTCAAATGGTAGAGTTGTATATCTCTGGCAGATGCTACACTAAAGGCAAAATGGTACACGACAGGAAAAGGGTGCAGTGCATTCTCAAAACAGTCACTTTAATGTATAACAACTTTAACTAATGGCCATATATTCCACTGTACTTATTTTATAGAGTGAAACATTTAGCTGCAGGTTTAAAGGTCCTATATTATGCAAATTTCACTCTTGTGAGTTTTTAGTCACATTATAATGTTGTTACCTCCTCAAAAACAGACCTGGATTTGTGTTTTGTTTTAGTCTGTCTATTGCTCCAAAGGCTGTTCCACCTTGTGATGTCATGAACCTGTAGTTTTCAACTCAACAGCTACTTTTTACCTTTAGTTCATCCAAATAATTATAGTGAAGATGCATGGAGTTAAAAAAAACACACAGTGGAGCACTTCCTGCGTTACCACATGACATCACAAGATGGTCTTTTCAGTTTGAGGGAAGAAGTCAGCCTAAATATGTAAGGTTTGTGTGTTAAACATATGTGAATGAAACAAAACACAACTCCAGGTCTGTTTGTAATGAGGAAAAAACATTACGTTTTAAACTCTTTTCTGATCTATGTTGAATATTATAATTATTATAACTACTTTTAATTGATAAAATCACATTTGCAAGACTGGCCATGTTTCAGAATGTATATCCTTCCCAAAGCAGCTTGGATAAGTCAGTGAAGTTTCATTACTTTGCCTACTGCACACTGTTAGACAGGCTGGTGCCAGCTAATGCCTCCGCTCAATTTCATTTCTCTCCAGCAACTAGGTCAGGAATCAGAATACACTAAACAGTTGGCAGGAACCCTGGAAGTGTGAGTTCGGGCACCAGCCAATCAGCGAACAGACATACATTCTGTGTTGGCAACGATTCCAGAGATCGAGGATTTAAAGCTGGAACAAAGAGAATGTTTGCTGAATTTCATCAAGGGGAAAGACGTTATTGTCCTTCTTCCTACAAGATTTAGGAAAAGATTAATATACCAGTTAGTCTTGTTATTGGCGCATTACATACGTCACGACCAAATAGCAGCGATTGGTTAAATAAAAAAGTACCCACCTACCGTCAAGCAAACAAATTCTAACGCTGCGAGGTCAGACGGTTTCTGTGAAGTGAAACCATCTGATGAATCAGGCTATCACACTATTGAAGTAATATTCAAAATAAAATATTCACTCTTTTCCAGACGCACAAACTGTTATTGTTACTAAAAGAAGTCATAGCTTTGCATTGTTCGTAGTGTTTGCATGCTCCACACAGTCACAGGTCTGTTTCCACTGTTTCAAAAGGAGCTCCTGTCCTGTGTCTGGTGTAAAGGGCATTTCTTCTGCTAAAGGCGCAGTGGTCATCTCCTGGACTCTGTAAAGGCTTTAGAGGAGCACAGCCTGTCTCTGAATGTGGAGATGCTCTGTTTTGATTTATCTCAAAGTATCACATCACAGTCTCTTCATAACACTCCACATCACTGAGTTCTAAAAGAAACCATTGAACAAGTGTCTTTTTATTGTGTAACATTGTGGACATACCAACTGTAACCTCGATTCTTTTTTGGTCTCTACTCCACAGAATGAGTTGTGTAAAAAGCTGCTAAAGTCTAGAATGAATGTATATTTTAATTCTCATAGTATGAAACTGATTTGTAGCGCTTTTATTGTAAAACATCATCTCAATAATTATGTCATTAATATTCTGTACAAGTTTTAATTTTCAGAAAGGAAGTTGAACAAATCTTAATGAATGTAATAACTTATAGGTGTATATGTTTTTTTGTTTTGTTTTAAATAAATGTTGAAATCATGAGGTGATGAGGAGAGCTGTGATTGTAAAAGTGCCTTTGTACAGTGTACAAATAAATATTTTCTAAGCAAAATCTCAAGTTTGTGGAAACTTCATGTTGATTGGGGCGAGCAAACTAACAGGGGAATGGCGGTCTCTAGTGGCAACATGGAGTACTGCAAGGAACTGTATTAGAAGAGCATGATATCATTCATGTAGTCCAGGGGTGTCAAACTCAAATTTACAGAGGCCAAAATTAAAAACTGGGACTAAGTCATGGACCAAACTAAATATTTATTGAAAAATTTCAACAACATCTGCATCTTTTCTTTTCTTTTGAGATATGTAATGTTAAACCTTTTCTTATTCAAATAAATGTTTAATAATAGTTTTGCTTAAACATTGAATCCAGAAAAAGCAAAATATAAAAGAATATCTAATATAAATAATGTTTCTATAGTCTGTAGCCAGCAAGCAGCTCTAATACATATTTGTTATGATCTCGCAGGCCAGATTAAATTGATCTGTATTAAGAAATAACAGTTTACATCACCGAGCATCATTACAGGTCAGATCTATGGAGAGGTGACCCAACCCGCTCACAGTAATAGGTATTTAATAGGCCTAGATATCATTAAGAAGTAGCCTATGCGATACATATCTCGATACATAGGCCACTAGAATGGTCAATGCCCCTTTCATAGCACATCATATCCTAACAAAAAATAAAAAATTGAAACGGCAGCCACAAATTGTTCAAAATGAGTTTACAGTAAAAACAGTGATACCATATAAGCTTTAAAAACACTGCATTTAACATTTAAACTGGTTTAAAACAGCATAGGTGACATGCTAGGGGATAGGAGTATGCGCCATTGTTTTTTTCTCCATTGGATTTTTGATTGGGGGTCCGTCACCTGCTTGTTTTGATGGTTATTTATTTATTTAGTTATTTATTTTATTCAGTATTTTACCAGGTAAATCAGTTGAGAACTAATGGAATTCAAAGCTAAAAGTTTATGATAAAAAGAGCATATATTAAAAAATTGTACTTACAGTTACGATAATTCAAAGAAAACATCAAAATTACTGTTTCAAGATGTTCTTTTTATTGCAGTCAGTAACAGACTCCATTCAAACTGGGAAAATAACACCACACATCTTCACAAGTGCCCAAAAATAGATATTTCATTCCATGTATTTTTCGATTTGGCAACTCATTCTTCAAATCTCTGCTTGAATAAAACAATGTACAAGACTCTAGATGAAAAACACATGTCACAGGAATGAACAGTAGTTTGACATGCGGAAATAGGCAAGATATGAACTGGACTTGAAATCCAGGAATAAAACTAATCTCTCAACTTGTATGAATCTCTGGGACATTTAAGCAATACACAAATACACGGAAATGGAAAAAGCAGTACTGAGAAATATACAGGTACAAAGTGTGCCATTAAGTAACTAGTTCAGCAGTTACTGTTTTGTTGTTTAAAGGTCACATATTCTGCAAAATTGACTCTCGTGAGCTTTAAGCCGTGTTATAATGTCAAAACATACCTGGAGTTGTTTTATTTCATTCACACATGTTTGAGTAACTCTTTATTATTAGTCTGTCTAAATCTCCAAAGTTCAACATGCTCTGTTCCACCCTGTGATGTCATGAAGTGGTAGTATTGTACATATATAGGCTGCACCTGAATATAAGCTGCAGGTGTCCACATCTTCAAGAACGTTTTCAAGTTCGGGTCATCTGCTTTTATCGCCTCTGAAAGCTTTTGTCGTTTTTTTACTTTGAGTCAGTTTGTCACGCTGTTTCCTTTTTGGACAGCCACATCAGTCGCCGTTAACTTAAAAGCTGCATCATCTGTATTTCTCCGAGTGTTTTCCATGAGGAGGGTGTGTGCATGAAGCGCAAAATAACTGTTCAAAACTTCCTCGGCGCATCACCCCCATCTCTCCCCTGCATATGTCTCCTGCAGAAAGAGTCTCTCTTCTGTCTGTATCATGTCAGTGTCTTGGAGGATTTCAGCAGATTTCTGACTCTCTCGGGGGCGGGGCTAGGTCTATCAATCAGGTATGAGTGGATGTCCGGCTACTGACGTTTGAGACGTTTCTTCTTGTCATTTACGCAGACGGGTAAGACGTATCCTCCTCTCTAATGTTCATTTAGCATCATAACTTCTTTTATCACATGGCGATAAACTGTTTGAGTACGCTGACAATATACTTGTGTAGCAGCTTCATGTTAACTCTAGATCCATATGTAACCGCACAGACAGCTGCGTTTTCTGCATTCAGGCATCTGCTGTGTTGCCAAACCATACACTGTATTTATGAATGGACAATGTGCCAAACAAAGAATCCGCCCATATATTCTCTGCATTGTTTTATTAGCCGCAGGGTTCAAAGTGTGAGAAAAAAGTAGCGGCTTATAGTCTGGAATTTACGGTAGTTGAATAGAGAGAGGCTGAAATCATCCAAATGATTCTAGTGAAAGTGCATGGAGTTTAAAAAGCGCTTCCTGTATTACCACATGACATCACAAGTGTTTTCAGTTGGAGAGAAGAACTCAGCCTAAATATTCAGGGTTTGTGTGTTAAACATGTGTGAATGAGAGACAACACAACAACATTATAACAAAGAAAATAGCGTAAAACGGGCCCTTTAAATAGAGAACTAACGAAACACGGAAAAGCTGTTAAAAACTGTACACTGTGACAATATTTTTTTTCCATTACTGATCAATATAATACGTTTTTAAAATAATTATCAACTAGAGTTTAAAGTGCAGTACAGCTTTTACTGCCAAATATAGGCCAAAAGTAGTGCAGTACTCAACCCAGACTGTAGAGGGCAGCAAAGCACTTGTATGTAAGTAGTCTGCCTGTCATTACATACTTGTGAACAGATTTAACAGATTTGTAAGGAATTTATATTGTGAAAAGTGCTTTGTGTTGGATTTTTTGTATGAAAAGTGCTCTATAAATAAAGTTTGATTGATTGAAATGAATGTTTGTAGTTCTTTGCGTAATTACATTGGAATTTGGAAAAACATAAAATATCTGATAATGTGGCCTCCTTAAAGGTGCACTATGTAACTTTTCTCACAGAGGGTTCACCATTTACTCGTTTCCATGCCGATGTTATTGCTTTGCCTTGAATGTTCCACAGTATGGCATTAGGCGTCTTGCATTTATACAGTTACAATTGTGTTTATGCTCAAAAATAGATTGAAAAACCAGCATTCACACTGTGCCCAGGCTTGCCTCTCCACAGATCTAACCTGTAACTCTGCCCGGTAGCGTCACCTGCTATACTGTGTAACCTTCAAGGCAAAGAAGAGACAATCAGGTCGCGGACTCTCAAACAGAAAAGTTCCAAAGTGCATCTTTAACTGCTACATATAATCTCCATGTACGTTGTATTTGCAGACACGTCCGCAGAGTGAGATGTTTGAGAGATCAGAGAACAGGAAAAACACAAGAATGACATTAAAAATCAACTGCATATACTTTTAAAACATCACAGTGAAATAGCTTTAAAGTGAACTTCAGAATTCGACGACTCCAAAAAGACGGAGGCTGGACCCACAAAACAGCAACAAAGTAAAATGGTCCTTCATGAAACATAGAAAAGTTATACAAATGGAAGATGCTTTGTACTTTGCTGATCTGGGGTCAGTTTCACCATATACGGTCAATAAATTTACACCAATCAGGCAAAACCACGGACAAATACAAGATAAGTCCATAGATTATCTCTTCATATTGGCACCTTTTGCTATGTGGGGAGCAGTGGACTAAAATAAACAATACAATATAAAGTTACAAGAGGATTTTATCATGGGAAATAAAGTTTCATTAGAGATTAAGTCACAATCTTGTCATATTAAGACCATAGGCTGTATAAAAAAGTGGACTCACAGTGCTCAGCTCCAGTCAAATGAAGTTCACGAGGCTAGCGGTTACAGGAACGAATTTGGAATAGTAATAGGAATTTATTTACAGACAAAATAATGAAATAAAAAGCCCAGAATCACGTTGAGCGGGTTAGTACGAATGTTTTAAGAGCAAAATGACGAGACTCACAGCAGCAGTTACAGAGAGAGGACTGACAGTTTTTCAATATAAAGTCAATTAGAGCCAGAGTCAGTGGAGCAGGAAGCGCCCCCATACTTACTTCCTATTTGGAACGCAGCGGTGAGCGGGTTAGCTATATCTGTTTACAGTCTGACGTGTCAAAAACTAATTTCTGACTGAATGATGCCACATTTAAACTTGATAGTAAACAAACAAATATAAACCTAGTTCATCTTAGTTGACAGAGATGTTTAAGTTCCAGTAATTCCCAAAATTACTGAGCATAAACCATGTCTTAACATAAGTATTTAGACCATAGATTGTAGGACGCTTCCGGCTCCATCGACTCTGGCTCCAATTCACTTTGTATTGAAAAAACGTCACCTCTCTCTCTGTAACTGCTGCTGTGGATGTTGTCATTTTGGTCTTAAATTTTCGTATTAAAAAACTCTACATGAGCTATTTTGTCTGTAAATCAGTTCCTACTTGGCTCCAAATACACCCTTATAACTGAAAGCCTCAATGAGCTTCATTTGACTTGAGCTGAATGCCGTGGATGACATCACACTCCCTCAGTCCAGGCTATGGTTTCGACTGATAAAAGCAAATTCGACTCAAGAATCATCCCAGTTCGAGCTCCACTTTTGAGCAGTTTATTTGGGATTATTCCGATCAAATATGAACGGCAAGGTTTGAAAATTTTATGTAAAAAAAATAATAATAATGGCAATGCGGTTTAAGATTCTCCAAAACTTCACCTTCCGTGTTTGAGTTTAAAATTGTCATCATTTATCATAACAAAATATCTTGAGAGTCTTAATGGTTTGCCTGATTGGTGTCTATAGAACTTGAAGCTGCACTGTGTAACTTTTCTGGTCTAAATGAAGATATTTTAGTTTTGCTGGTGGTAAAATAACTCAAAAATTATTCTCCACAGATCTGACTTTTAACTTGCCCATGCGGCATCACCTGCTTGTTTCCATGGAGATAAACAAGTCCAACACCACACCACACTGTAGAACATTACAGGCAACGTAATAACATCTCCATGGAGACAAGCAACCAGCAGAAAAGTTCCACAGCGCGTCTTTAAGTGACACTAACCCCAGTCACGATCGACGCCGCGGGAATACACTGTCTCCGTTTGAACGCTTCTTGTGCCTCATGCATCTGTGCTGTTTTAACACCGGATATGAATCACACACGGGTCACATGACGGGTCACATGACACTTTGACCTTTCACCTCAGGGTCACAGAAATCAGCTCGGACAAAAACACATGCAGGAGTTAACAAAGGCTGGAGGTTTAACACTGGGACTATTAAGAACAACAGACTTACGAAGAGGACCTTGGTTAGCGTTTTCCAGCAAGTTTAAATACTTTTACTGACAATACTAGACTTAAGGTCCTATATTACGTAATTTTTTAATTTTTTTTGAGTTGTGCTTCATTCACACATGTTTGAGTAACGCTGTTTATTTAGTCAAAACAACATTAAAGCTGCATTGTGTAACTTTTCTAATGGAGAGTCCGTCAAACGCTTTTTTAAATGCCTGTTTTTCTAGTTTTAGTTTTTTTTTTTTGAGGCATAAAACCGCTTGTAATTGAATAAACGTAAGGTAGAACTGTTTAATGTCATGAACATTCCAGGCAGAGCAATGACGTATCCATAGCAAAAAGCAGGCGACGGACCCTCAAAACCAAAAAGTTACACAGTGCGACGAAGCATTAATGAATGAAACCACAATGCTGATGTGTTTTTGCATTTTAAGTTAGAATTAAGTATAATATTGGAGATTTTTTTTTTCCAGATTTGACCAACCTAGCATTGATTTGCATATTTATATAATAGGCTATAAGTTTTACGTCAGATGCCCTACCTGACAATAATCTCTGTGTTTATTATACTGGCTTCAAACTGGCTCTTGAAGTTGGCCATTTTGGGGACAGAAGTGCAACATTTAAAAGGAAAAGTGGACAGCCAAAAAGATGCACTATGGAACTTTCTGTTTGGAGATCTGTCGCCTTCGTGTTTCTATGGATATGCCATTGCTCTGCTTAGAATGTTCCACAGTATGACATTAAACCACTCTACCTTACATTCATTCAATTACAGGTGGTTTCATAGCTCAAAAATGCCTAAACAGGTATTCTGACTGTGAGCGGGGTCGCCTCTCCACAGATCTGACCTGTAACTTGACCTGGTTTGGTTTTTATTAGGGCTGAACGATCTATCATTTTGGACTGAAAATCGTATAGTAATATAAATAATAATGATGATAATTTTAATATAAAAATGTTAATTGATGATTAATCGAAGACCTGGTTTGGACCTGGTGTAGTCCTGATTCAGTCCTGGTTTAGTCCTGGTTTAGTCCTGGTTTAGACCTGGTTTAGACCTGGTTTAGACCTGGTTTAGTCCTGGTTTAGTCCTGGTTTAGACCTGGTTTAGACCTGGTTTAGTTCTGGTGTAGTCCTGGTTTAGACCTGGTTTAGAACTGGTGTAGTCCTGGTTTAGTCCTGGTTTAGACCTGGTGTAATTCTGGTAGAGTCCTGATTTAGTCCTGGATTAGTCCTGGTTTAGTCCTGGTTTAGACCTGGTTTAGTCCTGGTTTAGTCCTGGTTTAGACCTGGTTTAGACCTGGTTTAGACCTGGTTTAGTTCTGGTGTAGTCCTGGTTTAGACCTGGTTTAGAACTGGTGTAGTCCTGGTTTAGTCCTGGTTTAGACCTGGTGTAATTCTGGTAGAGTCCTGATTTAGTCCTGGATTAGTCCTGGTTTAGTCCTGGTTTAGACCTGGTTTAGTCCTGGTTTAGTCCTGGTTTAGACCTGGTTTAGACCTGGTTTAGACCTGGTTTAGTTCTGGTGTAGTCCTGGTTTAGACCTGGTGTAATTCTGGTAGAGTCCTAATTTAGTCCTGGATTAGTCCTGGTTTAGTCCTGGTTTAGACCTGGTTTAGACCTGGTTTAGACCTGGTTTAGACCTGGTTTAATCCTGTTTTAGTTCTGGTACAATCCTGGTTTAGTCCTTCTGATTCAGTCCTGGGTACGATGTAAGTTTCTGTGATGTTTGCAAACGTTCATGTGCACTGAAACTTGATTTGAAAAAAATCGTGGATGAAATCGCAATATCTACCAGAAAAATCCCAATTCAGTTTTTTCTTAAAATCGTTCAGCCCTAGTCTCCATGAAGACAGAAAGGTTTAATTAGTACTACACTGTGAAACATTCTAGACAAAGCAATAACATCTCCATGGTGAACAGCATTTGACGAACCCTCTACCAGAAAAGTTACACAATGCACCTTTAAATGTCATTCATTATAAGAGCCAATGGCCAGTTTAAATCCCCTCATAAACAGAAATGCAAATTATAATTTCCTTATTATTACACTCTTATTCTAAGGCTTAGTATTTTTTAGTTGACTTGTTTAGTTGCGCTACTTCATACGCCAAGATCATCCGACAAAACCTGTAACATTTAACGTTTAAGAGGAAAAACATAAAATGGTGGTGTTGAAAATGGTTCTTACGGAAGCAGAGAAATAACATGTCTTAAAATCCTTACAGTAAAAGTGGTTTGCATAAGGCTTGGTTAACCACAGAAACACGGTAAGTTCTTCTGCATATCTAGTCACTGTTTGCAGCTATTGAACGCTATAGAACATTTAAAACAACATAAAAATACTTACAAACTCAACACTGACCGTCTCTAAAAAATCAAAACGACCGGACTGACCAGACTTCGTTATAGGCGCTTAAAACCTTCCCACATTTAGTGCTGTTTCTCGTATGTTGTGGCATTGTGAACTAAATGAGGTATTCAGGTGAGTTGTATTTTGAAGGTAAAGTGCCAATTTGTGCCAGATTTAACCTACGTTGAAGTGACGCCCGCGGATTCACGAGCAGAAGGCGGACTGCAGCTGTTTGAACGCTGCTCTGCGCTGTTTCTTGTCCTCCTCTTGCCTCTTCCGCTCCTCTTTCTCTTCTCGGATCTCCGCTTCGAACTTGCTGCCCTGAGACAAAGCCTGTGCCTGGAAAACACAATGAAAAGGTTAGTGCTCGAAATAATAGAGACAGACTGATATCTTGAGCCAATATTTGCCCTTTTTCGCATGACGGCACTGTGTAACTTTTCTGGCGAAGGGTCCGCCATATGATTGTGGCCAAGGAGATGTTGTTGCTATGTGTGGAATGTCCCGGTATGGCATTAAACATTAAATATGTTGTTTTTACTCAATAATATGGGTTTGTATTGACTTAAAAACTTGCATTTTTACTGTGAGTGGCAAGCACATAGGTTTTGTCTCAGGTTTGGCGGTGACATTATCAGCTAACCCTGCCCCATTACCAGTGTTGGGAAGGTGACTTTTAAAATGTATTCCCCTACAGATTACAGATTACATACCCTAAAATGTAGTTTGTAACGGAATCCATTAAGTTACTTAAAGTGAGTAACGTAATCTGAATACTTTGGATTACTTGTATTGTCATGCTTTTTAAAACTACATGAATGTAACAACCACATCCTGAAAATTCTTGTTTGTTCTCTTCAAACTGGCTGTTGAGCCCAAGTCTCCATGAAGAGGCAGTTGTTTGCTGTAGAGAAGCAAAGACTTGGATCTTGACATGAGAAGTTTTGTCTGCTAATAGCAATAAAACGCCCAGTCTTTCCTTAACTATATAAAAATATTATTGATAGAGAAATGCTTTATGCTATATGAGATCACCTTAAATTATGTCCACCCTACTTTTAGGTGTCATATTGTTTAGACCTGGTTTAGTCCTGGTTTAGACCTGGTTTTAGTCCTAGTTTAGTCCTGGTTTAGTCCTGGTTTTAGTCCTGCTTTTAGACCTGGTTTAGTCCTGGTTTAGTCCTGGTTTACTCCTGCTTTTAGACCTGGTTTAGACCTGGTTTAGTCCTGGTTTTAGTCCTGCTTTTAGATTTGGTTTAGACCTGGTTTAGTCCTGGTTTTAGTTCTGGCTTAGTCCTGGTTTAGCCCAAAATGTGAAAACAGGAAAATACTGCCATGTAATCCATTTATTTTAACAAAGTAACTGTAATCCAATTACCACTCACTGAAACATTAACTGTAACTGAATACAGTTACTCATAATTTGTACTCTGATTACGTAACACCGGTACATGTAATCTGTTACTCCCCAACACTGACCATTACACAAACTGATAGGTTACTTGATTAACAGATTCATTATATGAAATTGTTTACTTTTTATGTGATGCACACAGCAAAAACCAAACAGCACATCTTTATAAGAAAGGGTAAAATGGGATAAGAAGTTGCGTGTATATTTTATGAATGCTTTCCGAAAAACACACAGAGTCTGGGCAGGTCCAAAATTAGTGATAGTTGGTTTCATTTTCCATTGTCCTTCTAAAATGATTGTTTAGCCGATAACAGTGATGTTGAAGTTTGTAACAGATTTCCCGTTGCTTGTTGGTGATGAGATATTTGTGAGGTCATGTCCAAACATTTTTCCATGGAATATTGTCAGTAGAGTCGAGTTGCTGACACTGCACGACTAGGGCTCCGTTTGGGAGGTGCACTTGTGGTGATAGTCGCTTTTTTTTTGTGACGACTCATTAAAAGGCAAGTTTAATTGAAGATGAAGCCAAGTAAGGTCCATCACCAGCTTGTTTCTATGGATATGTCATTGCTTGGCTACAGTATGACTTTAAACAGCCCTACCTTTATTATTTTTTATCTACATTTATATTTATCTACATTTATTCAATTACAGGTGGTTTTATAGCTCAAAAATTCCTAAAAATACAGGCATTCTGAGTGTGAGTGGGGTCGCCTCTCCACAGATCTGACCTGTAACTTTGTCTGGTTTGGTCTCCATAAAGATAGAAAAAGCTTAATACCATACAGAGAAGCATTCCAGACAAAACAATGGAGAAACTCCATGGAGAAAAGCGTTTGACGGACTCTCCACCAGAAAAGTTACACAATGCACCTTTAAGATTAGGAGCAGAGTTAGAAGCTGTGTTGTTACCTTGGCCTCAAAGAAGTCCTTGGCCCCCATGACCCCCTCAGTGGAGACGTTTATCTCTGAAAGTCGAGCCAGAGCCATGAGGCCACTCTCCTCCTGCAGCTCTCCAGCCGCCGCACGACGGAAGATCAACAGGAACTGAGGAGAAGCAAACACAGGACAGTGTAAAGATCGTGTATCATGTATCCACCTGGAAGAAACAGGAACAGCTTTATCTTATCTAAACTTGATCTAATATGTTTTATTGTTTATTAGGGCTGGGTATCATTAAGGAGTTGCCAATACGATACATACCTCAATACATAGGCCAAGATACAATGCATACTTCGAGACAAAGGCCACAATACGATACATATCTCGATACAGTGTACTTTCGATTCAATATGAATTGAAATACGAAATTATTTAATATGGTTCAGTAAAAATAAAGGCTCAATCATGGCTATGATACAAAAAATCTTTGTTAAATCACTTCCTGTGCAAAGTTCATATGAAACACAAACATTTTAATCATCAAAACAGCAAAAATGTCAAAAGTGTTGCACAAAAGAGTTGCCTTCCTCTAAACAAGCAACAAAACTGTAGCTCTGTAACAAAATATTTGAGTAAAATATACCAAAAAACACTCTTGGCGATATATCGATACAACAGCCCCCAATATCGATACCCCTTCATCACATTACGCGATAAGGTATATCGATATTTCAATATTTTTGCACACTCCTATTATTTATGGTTTGTTATGGAGTTAGAGCAAGGGTCTCCAACCTTTTTTTTTTTCCAGTGAGCTCCTTTAAAAAATGAAAATGCCAGAGAGCTGCCAATTTCAGCAGTCGCAAAGAAACTGAGTAAATATAAGAGCCACAACAAGTCTTAGATGGGAGTTAGATGCTTATAAAACATAAACCATTCTCCATTTATAATAACATAATACAATGATGTAATTAATCAAATTTTACTTAATATGCACAATACATAGAATTCCGAAATCCCTTAATGAGCTATATGGAAAGGTGTGAAGAGCTACTGATAGGTCCCGAACTACACGTTAGAGCATCATTACCACTTGGCACCATCACCATACACCAATAAAATCTCATACACTTCATGAAATAAAAACAAAATGCCCATTCAAGAGTGACAGTCAGCTTTTTCTTATCAATATGGTAAACTACGAAATTCATAACCACCTGAACTCAAGTACATAACAGAGCTTCAGCTGTTCACCTTGAGCCTCAAGTCCTGGTTAAAAACAAACCAAAGCTGTACGCACCTGTCAATACTGTATCGTGTGTGTATGTGAATGTGTGTTTGAATGTGAGAATGTCTGAAATGAGAAAATATGTTTAAAGACTGTGCTTTTCTTAACCGTTTTGAAGTGTTTATGTAGGGAAAAGCCCAACCAGGGACAGGAGGTGAGAATCAACACTATCTCAGCATCGCATCAGCTGCATGTTCTGCCTGTGATTGTGTATAACTGCACTGTCCCTGTTACATAAATAAAGTAAATAAAATAAGTGATCACAGCCCCTAATCCTTTCTGGCTTGACTTTATATGCACATTGTGAAGCACGGACTGAAAAAGAGTTTAACATTGTCAGTGTCAAAGTCCATTACTTTTGATACTGACCACTAAAGACCCACATAACCCGACTACAGCTGCAGTTTGGGAGACGCTCTGAATCTCGTCTATAGTCATCACAACATGGTCCCTTGAACTCACCTCTTTTCCTTTGAGATTAAAATGTTACTTAGCTTAACATTTTTTTCCAAACACTAACAGATGGAGAGGTTATGGTTGTCATAAGTATTAAAAATCAGATACGAATCAAAACTAGATACTCAAGTGCAAATTACATTCTATTATCCAAATAATGAGTTGGAATCAATATTGAGTATCAACTTTATTACTTGGCATTGAATTTGAGTTTGAAGTTTCAGTATCGTGACAACACTAGCTGTCATTCCTGAATTACCTCTCTGAAGCTGAGTTTGCCGTCAAAGTCCTCGTCCACTTCCTTGATCATATTTTTGAGCCCGAGGTGAGTCTGAGGAGCCCCCAGCTTCTCCATCATCAGCTTCAGCTCCATCAGGTCGATGAAGCCATCTCTGCCTGTGTCGTATCTGCAAGACAAAATACAACAGATATTAAGTAAAAGGGACAGAAAAACACACTTTAAAAATGCAGGAACAGAAAGAGCTTCAAGGATTTTTCTTGGAATACTGCCACTATAGGGCTGGTATTTTTAAAGGTTTAGAGTGAATAAAAAATCTGTCACAGTGTTTGATTCTGTCTCATTAAAACAGATAAAACTGTTTTCTTTATTGATTTCCTAAACATAACCTATAGATTCTTTTAATTATTGCCATTTAACACAACAAATACTCCAATTTCTTCCTCCAAAGTTTGAACTTGCTATACCAACAGATTATTGACTGTACCTAAGCATTATATTCATCAGAAATCTTGATAAAAATCTGATTAATTGCACATTGTTTTAATCTAATCTGTCTGAGAATTTACACTCTGACTGAGTGACAGTGGATTTAACCAAATATAGCAGAAGCTGACCAAAGCATGGGTTCTCAATTATTTAAAGTATATACACGAAATTAAATTATATATTACATGTTTTGATAATGCCTGAGCAGAGCAGTGTCAGGTATTTTTTTTTTTTATTTATTTATTTGACAGGGACATTGCACAGTAAATTGTATGGCACAGACCAGTGTATTCCCTGAGCAGAGGCAAAGGGACAGCAGGGAACAACGTGGAGGTACTTCATAAAAATACAGCTAAAAAACAAATACCAACAACCCATCACCAGCAGAGGGTGCAGCTCATCAATGCTCCAAATACAAATTTACAAATATTTACATGCATTAGTGCTGCTCGATTATGAAAAAAAATCATTATTATGATTATTTTGGTCAATATTAAAATCCTAATTATTCAAAAGATTATTTTTTAGCTACACAATACATTTCATTCAGCATTTCTTTCTCAAAAAAAACCAAAACACTTTGTTACTGATAATTTACACAAAACTTTCAAATGGAAATTACCGTATTTTCCGCACTATTAGGCGCTCTGGATTGTAAGACGCACTGTCATTAAATCTATCTATTTTTTATTAAGTCTATTTTCTAACTTTTTTCACAAATAACACCAGACTTTAAACGAAACACAACAGTGTGATGGGTCAGTGGGACTTTGTTTGTCACGTTCACGGTGACTCTGGGCTTTGGTCAGTTGTGGCGTGTAGGGAGGGTGCTGTCTGGGACCGCTGGATTGTCGGCGTGTTCGCAGTGACTAGAAGTGGCACATTGCATTCGCTTTTTCGGTTCGTTCAGAGTGATGAGTGTGGCTGCGGGTGTTTTTCGCTGTGCGGTCGCTGTCTGCTCCGTGTGTGTTTGCGTGCTCTGCAATTGGTGCAATTGGTGCAGCTTTGTAGTTTACTGAAGTTGTGCTGGGACACCTGAGTGGATTCGTGTATAGGGCGCACTGGATTCTGGGGCACGCAGTCATTTTTTGATGGGGTTGGAGGCTTAAGAGCGAGCCCTATAGCCTGGAAAATATGGTAAATATAGGCTACAAATATGTACCTTAGAGAAGTTTTGCGATGTATAAAACATAAAATGAATAAAATATACATGAATAAGGCATAGAAAAACATAAATGTATCCAAAATAAACTATATATCCAACTGTTCTACAATCTCTATATTTTAAAAATGAAATATTATATTTATTTACAGAAAAAATATCCCAAAATAAACTTTGTTAAGCTTTAAATTGTTTCAACTCGATGATATAAGTTTAGAGATCGTTTGACACACAAATCAAAATTGCAATCAAAATTCAATTCATTGCACGACCTTAACATATTTACATTATTCCTACAGAGAGATGTCACTAATGGCTACAGCCTTGACTCTCTTTAAGCTACACTGGATTGTGCTACACTCCCTCACAGATACATGTAGGGAGTTCCAGGCCTCTGCTGCTTTGACCGAGAAGCAGTTTCTGTCCAAACGTGGTGAACCTTTAAGTTAAGTTCACGTCACAGTCTCTCTGTCAGCCCTCCTGACTCCTGCTTCTTCACACGATCTCACAAACACTTTTCACAGTCGGGGCGCCTGATTGTGAAAAATCTTACACACAAGATTAAGAACGGCCAACAGCGTGACATTCTCAGATGTTAACATTTTATATTTCTGAACAAAACTGCAATAATGATGTGACATGGGTTTCTTATCTAATATCTTGAGTGCTTGTTTGGATAAGCTCTGAAGAGGTCGCATTGCAGAGTGAGTTGCCAGGGACCATGTTGTAATGCAATAAAATAATAAAATGTGAAAAAAGTATACGTCTGAACTCTGGAAACACTGCTCACATGGATCGCAGAATTATTATATTATTGTTGTGTTTGCCTTCTGTCTGTTTTTTCAAATGTTCCATGTGGACCCTCTGGAGTGTGAAATAAAGCTCGGCTGATTTGACTGAGCATTGACTCAGAGAAGAACTGAACGAAGGGATCACATGTAAACCTTTAAACGCTACAGACTATTGTTCATGCCGGTAACTCCGCTTACAGCCATAGATTGTGCATTAGTCACGTAAAGCAGAGCGTATGTGGGGGCTGAGAGGTGAGCTCTGTGTGTGTCGGACTCTCCTCGTCTGTGCCAAGATATGCATGTTTAAATGAACTGGCTCTTTCATGTGTATCCATGTGAGAGGGAATGTTATCTAAGCATGTCTCACTGTCTCGTGAGCAACTTGTGATTGTCCAGTTAAAAACAAAACTGGCACTCAAGGAAAAACAAAGTAAAATGTGATTTATTTAAAGTGCCTATATTACAATATTTTCAGATTTACTGTATGTTATAATGTTGTTTCCTCATCACAAACAGACACTACTGGTCAAAATTATTAGAACACCACAATTTTTCCTGTCTTTTACTGTTTACTGTTGACCAAAATATATTATATTCTAAACTTTTGATTCATGAAAGTGTCCACCTTTGGCAGATATAACAGCTGAACACACTCGTGGCTTCTTCTTTTTACAATAAAAATCAAATATTGTTCATAAAGTTCTTCCCAAGTCTGTTGCAGAAGTTTCCATAAACGTGTGGCACTTGTAGGTTGTTTCAATCGTCTGTCCAGTTCATCCCAAACCAGCTCCATGGGGTTTTCTGGACACTGTGCTGGACACTCTGCGTTTTCAAGCGTTATCATCTTGTTCTTTTTTCCTGAGGTTGTTTTGGCAGAGCTTGGACTTGTGTTTTGTTCTTTTATCTTTTTTTTAACCTCTGTCTGTTCAGTTTTTACCTTTGTACCATTTCAAGTTCTTCATTGGACTTGTACGACATGAATTGCAATAAATAACTGGAAAAAATAGTGTTCTAAAACTTTTGATGTTGTGTTTTGTTTCATTCACACAAGTTTAACACACAAACCCTGCATATTTAGGCTGAGTTCTTCTCTGAAACTGAAAACACTTCCACCTTGTGGTAATACCAAAAGTGGTCAATTGTATTTTTAAAACTCTATGCACCTTCACAAGAATAATTTTGATGATTTCAGAAGTGGAATTGCTCATGTCTATTTAACAAAAGATATAAGGGAGCTGTTAACTTGAAAACTACTGCTTCATGACATCATAAGGTGGATCAGAGAATTATGAGCTTTGGAGATGTCGACAGACTAATAAACCAGGATTACTCAAACATTTGTATAAAACACACCACAACTCCAGGTCTGTTTTTGAGGAGGTAACAACATTATAACATGACTTAAAGCTCATAAGAATACATTTTGTGTAATATAGGACCATAGCTGTTCATGGATTTCAGTTTCCCATTGTTGATGACATTTGTGGTGAAGATTGCACTGAGAGAAGACTGAGAATCTCAGCCGCACAATCAGTTAGAGTCGTCTGTAGCCTCCAGTCAAATGAAGCTCACAGAGGCCAGCAATTATATTGGCGAATTTGGGGCAGAAGAATTTATTTATGGACAAAATAGCAAAATAAAAACACCAGGATCATGTAGAGCAGGTTAGTACAAACATTTTAAGAACAAAATGACGAGGTTCACAGTAGCATTTACAGAGAGGGATGACAATTTTTCAACGTAAAGTCAACAAGGGCCACAGTGGATGGAGCCGGAAGCCCCCACATACTTACTTCCTATTTAGAAAGTGGCGGCCAGTGGTTTACCATTGTCCATTTATACACAGTCTATGTTTTAGCCAGGAAGCATGGATGCAGTGTAATAACTGTGATATTGTTTCTTTTGAGCCCCAAGGAAAAGGGAAACATTTGTCTAATCTAAAGGTTAAGGCCGAGCGTTGCCACACAATACAAAACATATCCTGATAAATATAGCAATAAAAAGGGCTGCCAAAATGAACTAAATGGCTTTTTAAAAAACAGTTTTTTATGTTCTCCATATCTTTAATATCAAAACACAACATTGTAACATTGACTCTTGTGAGGTTTTAGTCACGTTTAGTCATTTTGAAACCTTCTCAAAAACAGACCTGGGGTTAAAGCTGTACAATTAATTGAATTTTAATCGCAATTTTGATTTGTGTGTCAAATAATCCCCAACTCATATTATGGAAAAGCTTTAAAGCTTAACAAAGTTTGTTTTGACATTTTTTTTAAATATAAATGAGTATATTTATTTCATTTTTTAAATATAGAGATTGTAGAACAGCTGGATATATAGTTTATTTTGGATACATTTATGTTTTTCTATGCCTTATTTCATGTTCAAAGTATATTTTATTCATTTTATGTTTTATACATCACAAAACTATATTAAAATTCATATTTGTAGCCTTTATTTATTTTCAATTTGAAAGTTTTGTGTAAATTATTAATAACAAAGTTAGTTTGTTTTTTCTGAGAGAGAGAAATACTGAATAAATGCATCTTGTAACAAAAAAATTATCATTTGAATAGCCATGATTTCAATATTGACCAAAATAATTGTGATAATGATTTTTTCCATAATTAAGCAGCCCTACCTGGAGTTGCATTTGTGGTCTTTCAACTTTCGTTTATATGATGACGATTTAGAACAGAAGACGCAAAAATTGAGTCCCGTCTTCAC